CTGATTTATGTGATTCTATAATTATTTAAAAAATCTGTGATGTCTTCCAGTTCCAGATTTTAGGAATCTTGTTAGTTATTGGACCCACTAATCTATATATATATAATTACTACCTATTCTACATTTAATAAAACCTCATAAATTATACCTAGGTGGCACTTTTACATTTTCTCTCCAAAAATCGTTACTTTTCATTTATTTAACCTAATTAATAGATAATCAATACACTAATCAATTTAAAATACAAAAATCCTTTTCAACTTTTGATTACTAACAGTTAACCATATAATGTGTTACCATATAATGTGATTAGATATTATTATTGTGGTTACATGTAAATTATTTTTTTGGAAAATAAAAAAAGTATATGAAACTCCTAAATAAATTATAAATAATTTTTAAAAAAAATACATACCAAAATATACGTTACATCCAATCTAATAAACGCAATTTAAAAAAAAAATCAACTCCTTTAATTGTAAATTTGGCTGCAAAAACATGAAAGAAAAATAATTAATCATTATATGCATGCAAATAACTCACAATATTTTATTTACATTTGTGCAAATGCACAGGTAGAATACTAGTTTAGCTTAAAGAAACGAGAGTCTGTAGTAAATGTGGAGTCTGTTGGAGCTATTTTAACTGATTTGGATCTCTGAAGTGATTCGATAGTGCTGTTGTGGAAAACGCAACTTTCATTCTCTCCCTCTATAGGCATTAGGAAAGGGGTGATATTTTGGATTTGGGCATTCAATTGATCAATTAGGGTTTCAGTATGGCGTCAGATCAAGACTCCCCAACGGAAGCAACAAATCCTACAGTCTCGTAATCCCGCACTTAGTTGTTTTTTGATATTTTTTTTTTTTCTTTTCCAAACAAATTGGTGTTATACGATGTATTGTGAATTTTTGCTACTGCAGGCCAAAGAACGTGTATAAGGACCCGGATGATGGCCGCCAGCGCTTCTTGCTTGAGCTCGAATTTGTTCAATGCCTTGCTAATCCTACCTATATTCATTGTGCGTATTTCTGTTCATATTCCTCTGGACTTGGAGTTTTTGTTCTTTCGTTAACTTTTTTTTTTTTCTCTGTTTCTCTCTTCCAGTCTGCAACCTCAAGGAATTGCAATATTTCTTGTTCTTGTTCTTCTCTCTTCCTGAGTCACTAGTCGTGGATTATTTCACATTTTCTACATTATGGATTAATTTGCTAAATCTGAAGTGTTTTCAGACTGAAATTCCAATGGTTGGATTGTTGAAATGACCAACTTCTGCTGGATCTTAATAAGTCGATTTTCGCCTTACATTGCTGCAGATTTGGCTCAAAATCGGTATTTTGAAGATGAAGCATTTATTGGATACCTCAAATATCTTCAGTATTGGCAAAGGCCAGAGTACATAAAGTTTATCATGTGAGAACTTTTGATACAAAACTAGTTTTGACTTTTAAAACCTAGTTCTTGAATTGCCGTAATGTGTCATGTTTTCTGCTCATATACTTTTAGCTTACTCATATTTTGTGCTTGTTGTAAGGTATCCTCATTGTCTCTTCTTTCTCGAGCTTCTTCAAAACTCGAACTTTCGAAATGCAATGGCACATCCTGCAAACAAGGTCTTATACTCTGTTACTTTATGTAATTTGTTGTCATTGTGTATTTCAGTAAGTACATCAGACACAAATGCAAAGTTTAAACTTTTGTCCTGAAATTGTTGTTTTTAGCGGGATCATTCATCCTCCCTGCATTTTTACTCTGCAGAATAGATTTGAAATTCTCATAGTGAAAAAACTTAGTTCTAGAATTAATTCCTCTTCCCTTAAAAATTGTATCTTGAAATAAAGCGACAAGATTTTTCCTTATGGTTTGCGACTAATTCAAGAATCAAGAATATATTTTCTGTAGGAAAAAACTGCAACAACTCTCAACTGTTACCTTTGAACAATTATTTTGATACAACTTTTAAGTTGGGAAAATAAACTAAAACTATAAACTTAATTAAAAGGGAACATAATGAGAAAGAATCATTGTATCGACAAAAAAGGTTTCAGGAGATTCCGTAACATTATTGTCTATAGAAACACTTATCCTGATTTTTACATAATGTGCAAATATCATGTTTTATTGAAGTACTTTTCTAGAATTTGGTGATTTCTTGCTAAGATCTGCCTCATTCTTATTAATTATAATTTGGTCTTACCCATATAGGAGTTGGCGCATAGACAACAGTTTTACTTTTGGAAGAACTATAGAAACAACCGGCTGAAGCACATATTACCAAAGCCACTTCCTGAACCTGGTAGTGCACCTTCAGCTTCTGTGGGCCCACCATCTTTGCCGACTACAACAATAGCATCTATTCCTCCAGTTCCTTCTCCAGTTACTCAAGCTCCTTCCCCTATGCAGTATGGCATGGGTCTGGGATCCTTCGTGAAGAATGATCCAAGAAATAGCGGAGTTGACAGAAGAAAGAGAAAGTAACATATCTGGCTTCTCATATTCTCATTCAATTGTTTATTTTCGTTTTCCAAAAGGATATTTTTTATGTTTCGTCTAGTTTAGGGCTGCAAACGAGTCGAGCATAGGTTGATTTATTTTTTCACTGCTCAAGCTCGAGCTCGAGCTTGACAATCCATGAAAACGACACTCGAGCTCGACTCGTGAAACAAATGGAAATGCTCGAGATTGACTCGATGCTCGAGATCAACTCGAGTTCGGTTCGAATTTTAACAACTATAAATGCACCTACGACAATTTTGTGAATTACGTATATATAAAGGGTATTTTAGTATTTTACTGCATATTTCGAGCCGCTCGACGTGCAACTCGACCTTTGAAAATCTGGGCTCGAGATCGACTCGATAACTTACTCGAGCCGCTCGAGTTCGGTCAAACTCGAGCTTGAGTCGAGCTTTGACTCGAGCGCTCGCGGCTCGTGAGCCGCTCAACTCGTTTGCAGCCCTAGTTTAGTCACAGAAAAACTTGCCTCATCAAAATTGCAGAAGTCCTTAACATTTCTTACTGACTTATTAGACATAAGTTCCAATGAGGTATACTTGCGATTTTGAAAATAATGGAGTTCATTCATAATTTGGCTATACACCTTAGGGATAGTATCTGCAATTACCCGTTTGATCTGCTCTATGAAGAAAGATATGATTATCCCTACTAACCCTCCTAACTTCCCTTACATATTCGCGCAGGAAAGATGGGTGATTCAAACATTGCCTGGGAATACAGCTATTTAGTGGTTGTAATAGAATAGCCAAGGGTGATGTCTGTTTCCTGGGTTCAATGCATGTACCAGTAGGTTGACGCATCCAAAACTCTCTTCATACTTGAGGATCTTATTAGTTCTTTGGTAGATAACATGATGTTAAGTACTTCCTTTTTTTCGTAGCTGCTTTCAATTTTCCTGGTATTTTTTCTTTACTCTTTAATGATAATGGTTGTTTACAAGTTTATCTACAAATGTATGTGTAATACCCCGTTTTATTGTGGATTTTTTGGGAGTAAGTATTGATAATTGCTATTATTAAATTGCCTTTATTATTATTATTATTATCGCTATTAACTATCAAATTGCTATTATTTATATGTTATTAGTAATATTGCTATTATTAATATTATTTGTCTAAATGCATATTTTACTACCATTATTATTATTATTTTAAAATATTGTATGTGATATAAATATAGATAATTCAGATTAATTTATTGCTCGTCGTCAATCGCATCGCTCGGAAAATTCTTGTAATTGCATTATCTTCATTCCAACCTTTTTGAGTTATTAAATAAGCCCAATCTTGTAAATTTTCTAGCCCCATGAGTATTCAATTTTTAGCTCAATTGATATATAATTGAGGCCCAAACTATGATACATTATTTTGGCCCAAGATTTACTTTGTGACCCAATTAAGTATTACAAGCAGACCCAATTCTACTTCTCCTCCTTCACGCGAGATCAAGCAAATCTGTTACATTATCTGCTCCGCAAGAACAGGTCCTCCACCTCCCCGTTCAATTTTTTTTTCCAGTTGCGATATTGTTGGGGAATCTCCGCGCACGTTCCCCTTTCAATTCGATCGTCCCTTCTCCATCTCGTCTACTTAAACGGTGAGGAACCTGAGACTTGAAACCCATCGACCAGTACTTCCAAATCTCTCACTCTCTTGCAATTAAGATTTGATTTCGTACCTGCAAATTTCCGCCAACAAAGCTTCCTCGCCATTGTCACCGGCGATTACCACCGTGCCTCGTTGCAGCACCTACTCCCGGCGTCCGTTCGTGAGCCACAATCGCCGTCCTGTTGCGATCCCCTTCTTCTAGCAAGCACCAAGCAGCGTCCTGCCATCGCCGACGCCCTCCGCAGCGATTGACCGTCGACGTCGATTCCAGAGCAGCAATTGTTCGTGAGCTGCGTCGCCTTCAAAGGTCTCGGGCTTTGAGGCTCTCGATCACCTCGTCTATTTTCTGGATTCTCGCAAATTCCCAAAGTGGGGTAATTTACTTCGAACCTTCGTCGACTATCCCTGCATATTTTTGACAATCTATTGGTTATATGTTGCCAGTTTAATTGTTGTTGTTGGCTTGCATAATCGTTGTGTTCGTCGAATGATGATTGTGAGATTATCGTGGATGTTCGGAACTCTCAACTTAGTTAAATCGGGTCTGTTTTTAATTGCTGCAAATTGATGGTAGATACGGAGTCTCGTTAAATTCTTTCGAGTTGTTATATATTCATCGCTCGTATATGCAAGATTGTCCAGGTCGGTTACGTGTTGCTCGGACCCGGTTCTTATAACTTTCCGAAATTCTATACGTGTAAGAGATATCAAATTTTACAATGTCTTGAAACTATTGTTTAACAAATTTATTTTAAATTTCGGAGTTCCGTTTTTATTGATTGGAGCCGTGTCGTAGTCGTGATGTCATTTGATTGTTTCGAACCAATAGGTGTCGTTTCCTATTCTGAACAAACCCCGTTTTTGAAAGGTTCTCGAACTCTGGAAGGGTCTTCAGGTTGGGTAAAATTTTTTGTGAAATTTTGCAGTTGAACCGCAGCCTGAAAAATTTTG